CGGTAGCATCACGACGGAGTGCTAGCATGCCTGCCTCGACACAAACAGCTTTGAGCTGTGCGCCATTGAAGTCATCTGTGGATCGAGCCAGCTCTTCAAAGTTGACATCTGGGTTAACATTCATCTTCCTAGAGTGGATCTGCCAATTCATGAAAGTAATACATATAATCAAAAGCCCAAACACTTGCAAATGATGAAAATCTTGACGCAAAGGTTTTTCACCTGCAATATCCGAGCCCTGGCTTCCTCTGTAGGATGAGGAAACTCAATCTTACGGTCCAATCGGCCAGACCTCATCAAAGCCGGATCTAAAATATCAGCCCGATTTGTTGCTGCTATCACCTGAATCCCAACATGAACAGCAGAACAGGTTAGTAGTTGTAGTAGAAAATCTTACCATATCTACATAGGCCCATAACAGATGCTGGTACGTAGTATATGGCATCATAAAGATCTAGTCACAGTCAAACAACACACCTTTATTCTATCATCACTGCTAAACCCGTCAAGCTGATTCAATAGTTCTAACATAGTTCGTTGGACTTCCCTATCCCCGCTGACTTCACTGGATACAATGAACAGAAACTCAGTTAGAGTAAACAGTTAACCAACCAACAGAAAAAATATTGATCAATTTGTTCACCAGGATGAAGATAATAGCAACAACAGTAAAGAGGAACAGTGTTGCATACAGATGATCAAAATCAACTAGAGTACGTAAATAACACACCTATCGAAACGTTTTGTGCCGATAGCATCAATCTCATCAATGAAAATAATGCAAGGGGACTTTTCCTTAGCAAGCTGGAAAGCATCACGAACAAGTTTTGCTCCATCTCCAATGAACATCTACATTTTGTAACAACATTCTTAGCAATGACATTATCATCAATCAAAGAATACAGAGCCGGCAAACTTGTTTAAACTCTATGTGCATTCATATCTAAATTATTGAAACTTTCCCTATTAATCCGACAAATATTGTACTCCGTATATCAAAAATTCAATCTCTAAGCATTTAATTTTATACTAGATCAATTCATGTGTCAGAGAAACTGTAAATGAGATGGATGAGATATGCGGAGATAACCCATCGGTCATGTCAACACACACACTGCTTAGTACATTAGTCACCGTCACCTATGGATGTCAATGAGGCGGTGCGGTAGTGCCAGTGGATGTGGGCTAACCCATACAAACACCCACCACTTGCCCATTGCCCATGTTGCGTATCAATTTTAGCATCCCCCACTGCCCCATTGGGCACAAGCCTAAAACATACCCACTCCACCACCTACCTGGGTAGGAGTTACCCATTTTATTGGACCCATTACTCATTTTCTTTCTTTTTAAATTACAAATATATACTGTATATTTATCCAACTAATTAAAATAAATTTAAATGTATTGATGAGGGTACAGAGGGCAGGTAATAGGCAGGAATTGGTAATGGGCCAGCTGAGAGGTCAAACCCAAACCCGTCTTATTCGTTATTACGCATGATGGGTACGCTTTTTTACCCAAACCTACTCCACATCCAGTAAAAATTTACTCATACTCTCCCCAAGTGGAGTGGAGGAGGTATGACACCATTGACACACCATTAACTGCCCAGCCTCCATCCCTACCATCACCATTAAAATAGTTCAATGCTAAGATAAAACTGAATGTTGGGATAATTGTTCTGCTAAAAGTAACCCTTACGCTGCATCACTTGTGCCATTGCAGAAAGACAACCACAAAAACAATTTTAAAAAAATTTATGCCATTACTAATAGCTAAAAACAACCATCCGTAAGTCTATTTTGTAGCAAAACAAAGGAAATGATATGGGTCAATGAGATGTAAGATTGCAACAAAATATAATACCTGTACTAGTTGGGGACCTGCTAGCTTGAGAAAAGTAGCCTTTGTCTGAGCCGCACAGGCACGGGCCATTAAAGTTTTTCCAGTCCCAGGAGGTCCATAAAGAAGAACACCTTTTGGTGGGCGAATTCCTAATTTCTGAAATCGCTCTTTGTGTGTCATTGGCAAAACAATTGCCTCGACTAGTTCTTGGATCTGCAAACGTTCCCAGGAGAACAATATTTAAGAGAATTTACACATCACATGCTAAGCATAACCTAAGACAAAAGTGAAGTCTGATTTGTTATGTGAACAAATGAGAATAACATGCCTGTTTCTCAAGGCCTCCAATATCATTGTAATCCTCTGTTGGTTTTTCATCAACTTCCATTGCCTTAACCCGAGAATCAAACTCAGATGGCAAAGTGTCCAAGATCAAATAGCTATCTTTGTTCACACCAACCAAATCACCAGGTTTCAACTTGTCCGGATCAACAAGACCAACGACAGGCAGGAAGATAGTCTACAATTGGGAACAACAATATCAATAGTAATAGAAGACAGAAGAAACTGAATAACACTTCAACAAGCAAGAATGCCAAGTAAAGCATGAAGATATAATCATAGAACAGTGGAAAGAGCATGCAACATTACCTGACGAGTAGAAGTTTTTAGTACAACACACTTTCCCTTTCTTTGTGAGTCGAGATCAATATTTGCTCCATCCTCCTCACCATCTTCCTCTGGGTTCATTTCTAAAATCTGACAATGAGTGATTTTAGTTAGCACATCAAAACTCAAAAGAGAGACCCCATCAATATTTACCAATTATGTATTTTATTTGAAGATCATTTAAATGATTGATAGAAAATAAAGTTTTTTACTGAAGCGATCTAATTCTAATCATATGAAGTATGGGCATCTCTTCAAAGGCCACAAGAAATCCATCACCCGGAAACTGTCTACTCTTAAAGAGTAAGGAGGAAATAATGAAGGCAATGTCACACTGTCACCAAGCAGCTTCTATTACTCATAAATAGATATAGAACAAAGATGTATAGTAGCACATGCCTATCAACTAGCATCCATTCACAACTATCTTTTTCTCTGCCTTAACTTGCACAAATAGTATGTTTGTTAGATCACTTATTAGGTATCACCTTTTCTAAGGAATAAAAAACTTTCCTTGTTTAATCTTGTAAACTAGTTACTGAATGATCAGGATGGAGAGAAATAGTTAAACTCTAAATGGGGTATGAGTAGCAAAACACATGTCACTTTATGAAAACCACACTTCACACCTGGTATTTGAGTAGAGCCCCAATATCTGTAAGGTCCCAAAAATAAACTCCATCCCATGATAGATATATACTACATACGCAAATACACTGCTCCAGGAACATTACATTTTCTAATTTTAAAAAAATAAAACTACACATACAATTTCAAGATTCTTGGATTGTAGCACAAACAAAAGTACAAAACATTTCTTTATATGTAATCATACTTATTTAAGTCAGACTAAATCTTCAGCCTTTAGCCAGAGGACATCAAAGACACAAACTAAGCATTGAGTTTTGACAAACATCCAAAGAGAGGGAGAAAAAGATGAATCAATACAAGCTTTCAAATATTAAACTTGTAAAATTAAAACCTTCGGCAACTATACTCTTTGAAATAACCAATTCAACAAAACCGCACATTTTTCCCACAAAGGAAGTAATTACTCGCCTCGACTATGTTTCCTACTAAGTAAGGAAGCTGTTTGTTGAGTTTGATTTTCTCCTGATTCTCCTTGATCTTCTCCTTGAACGAATCCAGTTCTAGATTCGATCTTTGCAGCTCTTCCTGAACTCCACCAATACCAAACGTCAAATCGTAGAACAAATTGGAAGAGGAAAACAAGAATCCAATAAAAACCCTCAAAATTTCAATACACAAACCTTCTGAATTCGGATTTGGTTGTCGAGCAGCCGCGAATCCCTAATGACATCTTCAGTTGACATAGAAGCGAGCTGGTCATCCTCGAAACTGCTGTCCTCCATCATGGCCGTTGCCATCTCCGATTAAGAGGAAAGAGATGCACAGAACAGACCCGATCCGATCGGAAGATTTGAAGGCGAGGAAACCTGGTGAGTACTCCCTAGTTCCGATACTCTCCTGATTAATTTACTTCCTCCTTCCGGTAATTTTATTCTTCCCAGCAGTTTCTAAAATAGAGATTATTACTTTTAACTATCAACATCTCTTTATATATACTACCTCCGACATAGAGTATTTTGTCCAGTTTTGATTTTTAAAAATACTTCATATTATAAATTTAATAAAACTATTTTGGCATCAATATTAAATATCATTTTTATTTAATTTGATATCAAAGTTTACCAATTCTGAGACAGAGGGACTAGTGAAAAAGTGATTATTGAGACAAATTGTAAGAAAGTTACAGATGTTTTCTACAATTTCCTTACGGGTTAGGTCTTATTTTTCTTCCATTATTGATGACTGTAAATCGTTCATAGCTCTTTGGGGAGGAGCTTTAATTTCTCTTTTCATTTTGTGTATCACTCCATTGATGTGAGAGCACACAATCTTCTCGTGCTTTGCATTCGATCTAGAGGAGAGGAGAATGGTTCTTTTCTCCTCTAAACTTTATTTCCCCATTAATTTAATGCTTTCCTTTGATTGTCGAAAAAAATTAAACCAAAGTTATTGACACATGTAATAGTAACTCATAAGTTTAATTAGAGAGGGGGGTGGTACTTAATAGGAGTAAATTTATTTAAATTTTGTGTTTTTCTTAAAATAATTTTAACTTTGGGCCTATTTTGTTGGACAAAAAAGATTTTTTATAGGAAAAATTTTAATTTCATTTTCTTCTGTTAGGTTGCGTAAGTGATAGACTAATATTTTCTCTCATCAAATGGAGAACAATTTTTTCATTTCTTAATTTACATGTTAGTAATCCAATTTTCAAATATAATGGGACAAAAGAAACAATATTTTATTAATGTTAATTTAAAAAAACTATTCTCTTCGGTCCTAAAACCTTTCTTGTTTTTGATTTTTTTGGTCAAACAATGACACTTTTTGACCCTAAATTGTAAGAAAAATATATTTAATTATAATATAAATTCAATATAATTAGACTCATTTTAGAATATACTTTTGATATATCAAATTTTTAGATTATTTATTTATTTAGATTATATTTAATTTGTGATCAAAGATTGTTATTGTTTCACCAAAAAAGTCAAAACAAGAAAGGTTTCTAGAAATGAAAGAGTATTATATTTTATGCATAAAAGTAGAATCAAAATTGAACTCTATCAATCCACTTTTTATCGCCAAAATGGGAAATCCGACGATCCAACTTTAATTTGGATCAATTGGTCTAATCTTGACCACTGAGTATTATGGATTGTCAATTTCATAATAAATTTTAAATTTGATGGACGACTTGCTACTCCTTCTGTCCGAATTTAATCTCACCTTCTCCTTTTTATCCGTCAGAATTCAATCTTCTTATTTCTCATATATAATACATGTATGTTTGGACAAAAAATATAGTACTTGTTTTCTTCGTCTATATATAACCTTCCCATTTTTCATGTTTAAGCAATTTTATAATAAGGATATTTTGGACAAATCTATCTCATAGTCAACCATCATAAAAATGAAGAAAAATCAAAACTGAAAAATAAAATCCGGATGAAGAGGGATTTTTTTTTTTGCATTACATTGCGTCATGCATGTTTTGTAGTTGCCCCACATGTAGTAAAACTAGGCAATACATCATCGGTTGTACATGCCCCACATTTGTAATGTAATAATCCTTCTCTTTGAAAAACACTTTTTCCCCTTCTTTTTTTCTTGTCCTACAAAATCCTTCCTATTTCTATTAAAAACTCATTTTTACCTCTACTAATTTTTAATCTACCTATCACATCATACCATTTTATTAATAATCTACTTATCACAAGGGTATTTTTTGAAAAGTCAACACAAAAATATCGTTCTCTTAAATTTCTTAAAAGTCAAAATAAAAACATCTTTATGGGACGGAGAGTGTAGAAGAATATAATCCATTTGACAAAAGGGCAGGTCTACATAGTGTCTAAAGAGAAGCATACAAAAGGGGAAATTTCATTGGACCGTGCTACAGTGCACTCACCCCTGCCTCCCTATTTAAGATGTTTTTTTTACTTTTTCTTTCTTTTTTTTTCTTTCCTCCCTCCGGCTCTGCTCGTCTACGCCAGTCAGCCGCGCGCACGACCTCCTCTCCCTTCTACGCTATCCTTGGAAGGTAATATCTTTTTTTTCTTATCTTCCTCTTCATATCAAATTCAGATCTTCATATCAATCTTCCTCTTCTTATCTTTTTCTGTTATTTTTTTCTATTACTTTTTTCGGTTTTTTTGTTTTTTTCTGCTATTTTTTATGTTTTTTTGCTGCTTTTTGTCAATTATTGAAATCTGCTGTTTTTCACGTTTCTCTTGCCGTTTAGTTTTTTTTCCCTGTTTTTTATGCCTTTTATTATGTTATTCATCCGCCGCTTCCTTCGCCATTGGCTGAATTTAAGGTAAATGAAATTTAATTAATTTCAGTTTTTAGGGTAAACAAAACTCAACTTGATGGATTTAGTGGATTTAAAGTTTTATGGTTAATTTGAGTTAATTGACAGTTTTGAGTTGGTGACAGTTGGGATTGACGAACGGACACTGAACAATCGGATTGTCAAGGACGAGCCTTGGCCCTTACTTTGGTTACTGGTTTTGCTTGTGTTTTTACATTGTATGGCTTGATATTTAGACCCCATTGTATATTTATTTGAAGTAGTGGAAAAAAAATGTTTTATTTTGGTGTTACAGTTTCGAAAGAGACCAAGGAAAGGAAAGTTAGCGTCAGTACCTGTTTGGAGGGGTGGGGCTGCCGGCGCTGCTGGAGGGGTGGGGCTGCCGGCGCTGCTGGAGGGGTGGGGCTGCCAGCGCTGGAGCTGGAGGGGTGGGATTGCCAGCGCTGGAGCTGTAGGGGTGGGGCTGCCGGCGCTGGAGTTGTCCGAATTGGAGTTGTCTGGCACTGCAATTCCTGCTATGCCGGCGAATTGGAGTTGCCGAAAAAAGGGAGATGAAAAGGGGGGATTTTGGGGAAGAAGAGAGGAGATGAAAAGACTAAGAAAAAAGGGAAATTGAAAAAAAAATAAATATATTGGGTGGCAGGCTTGGAGGCACACGTGGTGCCTCTTTAGCATTCTCCAATTTCATTTGAGCACCAACATAGAACACACTTTCAATCTCTATTTGTAGCCCCCAATGACTTCATCATCAAATCACTTGTCTCTGATGTACCATCAACTAATCAGGTTTCACACTTCTGATGACTCAGCCAATGACAGCAAAGAAAACAGGAAAAAGAAACTCTACTAAGCTTCTAGCCCAGCTGCACTTTTTTTGACAAAAAAACATGCCAAAAATACAATGTAATGACTAAACCTAATGGAAGGCAACAACAACATTACCCCAGTGCCTCAATGGCTCCCACCCATTGTGGGGTAAGGGGGGTCGGATGTACGCAGTCTGACCCCTATGTTTAAAACATAGAGCGGCTGTTTCTAGATTACCCAGGATGAGCGTCGCAAGTTGCATTGACTAACTGCTACTTCACAATTGCAAGAAGCGCAGACAATTTAAAGAATCAATCTGCTTTATTTCATCTTACCCCCAACGCCAAAAAATAGTGAATCTTTGGCTTATAGGGGATGGAAATGTAAACCTTGATGGAAGGCACCATGCAATAATCCTTTTGCACTATTTTGTATGGCCTCTAATTGCTAGCTTTATCTAAGAAAAGCGAAGTTAAGACAACAAGTGTTGCACATTCTGAGCTTGCATAGGACAATACAACATCAATGCAGATAACATCATATAACTCCAATATATAGATATAATATGAAGAATGGTTTTAAAAGACAATCAATTAAATGGTTTTTCAAGTCACGATAAGGCAAAACCACGAACAACGTTATTCAATAATGCATCTTGTTTTATTCTTTTGAGTATCTAAGAGTTCCTGTCTGTAAAATGAAGTTGAGAAAAGAGCAATGCAGGAAACACACTAAATATTTGAACAAGTGGAAAGTGTATAAACAAAGCATTTATATAATACATAGTAGCAATTAAAATTATTTAATTCGAAACTGAACATGCTAAAGGAAGATGAAAGGGCTTTGTATGTACCATTTCTTTTTAACGAATGAAACTGTTGACTGTTTTTTCTGTACGCAAACCTGTAAACAGAAGGGCACAGATTGGAAACCTAATTCTTCGGCAAGAATCATCTAAATTCATGCTTGGAAATCAAACAAATTGTAAAAAAAAAATATTTGTGATAGAATAATTTCAATTGGCATTGTTTTTTTACGATGCAAAAAAGAATCATATTACAACAACAACAACAACCCAGTTAAATCCCACAAAAGTAGGGTCTGGGGAGAGTGTGTGTACGCAGACCTTGCCCC